CATCATCATCATCATCATCATCACCAGTAAGCATCATCCCCAGCACCACCACGCCCTGGTTGCTGGGAGCAGCAGTGACTTGGTGGTCTATAGGACAGGCCCTTAATTCTTCAGGAACCCAGCAGATACATTCTACAAAATAGAACTAGGGCTGCTATTACTAATATATTAATAGTAACTAGAAGCACAAGTCCTAGTACTAATAGTACTAGGACTCAGTACTAACAGTGCTAATAGTAATAGCTGGTACTGTTTTTTTTTCTTTTAGTAGTTCTTTTTAGTTATATATAACATTAGGATTCATTTGACATAATTATTAAAGCATGGGATATAATTTGCTCTAACCCAATCCCCATGACTTCCCCTTCCCCTCCCCTCCTCCCTTCCCTGTTCCCTTCCTTCTGCTCCTCTGGTCTTTCTGCTATTTACTTAACAGGTTTGTGGTTTTTGTTAGTGTCTTGGGATGTGCATGAGGCTGAGATCCACTGTGGTGCATTCATATATTCCCTGGTGCACAGGGAACTTGGGTCAGCTCCATCCCACTGTTCTTCCCTTATCCCGTCCCTCCTTCCCCTCCATTCTGCCCCATATTTCACACTAGCTTCCTCCTATCAGGGAACACATATGACCTTKGACTCTCTGAGTTTGGCTAATTTCACTGAGCGTGATATTCTCCAGTTCTATCCATTTACCAGCAAATTCCACACTTTCATTCTTCGTGACTGAGCAATCCTCACTGTGCACATACACCACGTTTTCTTTGTCCTGTTGATGGGCACCTGGGTTGGTTCTATAGCCGGCTCTTGTGAGCTGGCTCAGTTCTTCATGGTGGTAGCCGTGTGCTTGGCTTTGAGTCTGCACCGCAACCCAGCAGATGGGGGAGGCATTTTATCCCTGATTTGCAGAAAAGGACACAGAGACCCAGAGAGGTTACTGACCCGCCCACATCACATATCTAGGGTGTGGTGGAGCCTACACTGGGACCCACCCTGCCAGGCCCCTCAGAGCTGGACCCTGTGCCATACTACACCTTGACCACGAGGGCCTTCATGGTCTTGAGTGACCAACTCTCGTCCCCACCCTCCTAGGCCGTGAAAACATCCACAGATCTACAGCCAGGCCCTGTAGATTTAGGAAATGTCCTGTGGGTCCTTTCATGGACATCTAACAGAGAAGTCCCTCCGGCACTGGAACTTGTGAGACTGACCTTCAGGTGACACTGAGGGTGAAATGATGGTGAAGAGGAAGAAAGAGAGAAGGAGAAGAAAGGGGAAGGGGAGCCTGTGGCTGAGGGGAGGCTGCCCATGGTGGTCACAGTGGTCACAGTGGTGATGGTGGTGATGGCAGTATTTAGATGCCAATGGTAGGAGCCACGTATACAAGGACAGCGGTGGCTTTGGAGGACCTCCACATGCCAGGCTCTGTGTCATTCAATCATGGAAGCAACTGTATTGACCCTGAGGAGGGTCAGCCGTCTGAGCTGCAGCTAGCCGGCTGTGCTGCCCAGGAGTGTGGGGCTGTGTGCTCCAGCCTGGGAACAGAGCCGGATTCAGAAACCGAGATGTGGCATATATTGCTTTCATACCATTGCAAAGTTGAAAAATCGTTGAAAAGTCAACCTGTGGTCTGGTGGGGACCTGTGCACCAAGCCAGGGCTTGTGCCACCACAGTGAAGCCTGCAGTTACACTGGATTTCTTCCTTTCCCTCCGCAAATGGTTTGAGAAAACCGCAGAGATGTTTGTCCCTGGTGAAATGCACCAATTGTAGAGGAGGAAAGGTTTGTTCAAGGGCTGACGGTTTCAGAGGTCTTAGTCCATAGAAGGGCAACTCCCTTCCTCGGGGCTGAGGTGAGGCTGAGCATCACGGTGGGAGAGGGTAGTGGAGGGAGGCAGTGCGCATCATCTTGATCAGGAAAAAGAGAGAGTCTCCAGCTCCAGATACAAAACAGGAACCCCATAGCCACGGCCCAATTAACCACATCCTCCAGCCACGCCCCACGTCCTCTAGTACCACTCAGTCGATCCCACAGGGATTCATTCACTGACTGGGTAAAGACTCTCACAGTCCAGTCATTTCCCCTCTGAACCTTGCATTGTCTCACGTGTGAGCTTTTGGGGGACACCKCACGTCCACACCATAACAGTCCCTTATCACAGGTGAGCAACTGAGATGCCAGGGGTCACAGGTTCAGCCGGTGCGTTCACCCCCCAACGCCCCCTCCCCGTCCCCAGAAACTCACGTCCCTCGTGCTTCTGTCTGGTGTCTGCAGACGCAGCGGAGGCGGCGGTGGCGGTGTGGGCTCCTCCGGAAGGCCTGCTKCGTGGCGCTCCCGCTGCAGATGCTGTTCCTGCTCTTCCTGCTCCTGCTCCTCCTGCTCCCGGTGGGGGAAGAGGACCGCAGCTGCACCCAGGCCAACAACTTCGCCCGCTCTTTCGCGTTCATGCTGCGCTATAGTGGCCCTCCGCCCACCTAGCCCACTGGGGCACACAGGTGACGTCCTTTCCCAACCGCCAGCAGTCCCAGGGCCCCTCCTGAGGTTGCCTGCTGGGGAACCTGGAACCGGGCAGGCCAGAGACCACAGAGCTGCCTGGACATAAACCCCGCGCCAGGGTTTCCAGAACAAACTCGCTTTTTATACAGCGTTGTCATCGTCTGTGTATACCTAAATGTGTCTGCGTATGACTCGGGACAACGTCTAGGACTTCTATATACACCTGTGTAAATGCTCAGTATGTCCAGCTTCCTACCTGATGTCTCTCTAGTCAGCAAGGTTCCTATCAGTATCCTTCTCCAGGGGGACTTTGTGGCCTTTGTGCCTTGGCCTGCCATCGGCCCTGACAAGCAGGAGTAGTACACAACACGTTATGACAAACTCTCACCCAGAAGCCAGTCCCCAACCCAGGTGTCAGAGCTGTGAGCACAGGAGAGCAGAGCAGACCCTCGCTCGCTGGGAGCTCAGGACTCTAGCTTTACGCAGGATGAGAGCAAACATGCTGACTTGGTCTTAAAGCCTGGAGGAGAAGGTGGAGAGAGTGAGGGTGGGAGAGGGCACCGTGGGGGCAGTGGGGGGTGGAAGAGGTGTGACATTCAGGGAGGCAGGGACGAACCCTGAAGGGCAGACACAGAACTAGGAGAGCACAGCGTAAGGGGGCACTGAGCAAGGGTGGCACCAAGTGCCGGCGTTCTGAGAGCACAGACCCACAGCGGGTGTCCCTGGAGTGTTCTGGACGGGCTTAGATTTGGTCTGTGTCTAGTTCAGGAAGAAGGGAAGGACATAGGCTTTACTTTTTATTTATACTGGAGGGTGAAATGCTCCAGGTAGCAGCCCCGGCAGCTGCAGGGAGAGTTGTGTGACCTCTGCAGCCGTGGGACTGAGTGTTGCCACCTAGAAGCTGAGCTGAAGGTGAGCTTTGGCCACACTGGGGGTAGGGACAGAGGGTCCAACACAGACAAGACTCAACCTCGGAGTGCAGCCTGTCCAAAGGGTGCTCCTTCCCACAGGGGCACTGGAGGCAGCCAGGTCCCTGGACCATGAATCTCTCACCTGCACCCCGCTGGGGTCCCAGGGCCCAGGTCACCAGCGTGGCCTTTGGACCAGGTCTAGGCACGTGGGCTCCATGCACTACCTGGGTTGTGGCCAAGGTGACTCCATGTTGGGTCCCAGAGCCAGAAATACCTCTTCCTCCCAGGGGATTCTGGGATGGATCCTAAGTGCCTTCAAAGTGGATCACGTTTCCATAAATGGACACTAAATTTTATTTTTTAAAGAAAATATTTAGTGTTCATTCTTTACAAACAGATTTTATCTATTTATAAATATTTTATCTATTTGCTCAACTGCTAGCAGGAGGCCAGCGGAGTGGTATCAGACTTGGAATCATGAAGTATTGTAGACACGGGGGAACTTTAAGCAGAGGGGAAACCGAGGCCCAAGAGAGCCCTGAGCCCCAGACCACTGCTGTCGCACACAGGCTGGCCCCCACCCCCCAGCATGGGCCTGGCCGTGGTGCAGCAGTCCTCATGGGGCCCTGGCTAGGAGGAGCTGGGCATCTGCAGGGCAGGCAAACTGTGCTGGGGACACTCCAGGCACTGACTCCCCTCCAGATGTTTGGGAACCAGTCACAAAGGCTGCTCTCAGTAGGCGGCCACTTTACTGGAAAGTCAGGGGCTAGGTGAACTTGGGGCTCAGGCCAGGCAGCCAAGCACACATGCTCCCTAGTCATCTGCTCCAGCCCTAGATGCTCACTGGTTAATTGGTCCAGCCCTAGGCCACAGCGGAGGACCCTGACTGCTCCCATCTGAACTCTCCCACTTCACAGGCAAGAAATCTGAGGCCTGGAAAGGGAAAGTAACTCACCCAAGGCCACACAGCAAGAGGCTGGGCCAAAGCTGAACCAGTCACCATGGTCCTCAGGCAGTGCCCTGCTCAGTTTAACACAATCCCCCCACATTGGTACCTTCAAAAAGAAAGAGCCAGGCTGAGTTGCAGCTCAGGGGTAGAGCATTTGCCTGGCACATGTGAGCCTGTTTCAATTCCCAGCACTACCAGAAAAAAAAATGTTTATCATGAATATAATTTTGTCTCAGGTGCCCCATGTTGGGGGTGGGGACAGGGAGTGCAATATGAGGCTTGGCTGGSGGGAATGTCTCCCTATATTTTTAAACATTGATAACGATGCCATAAAAATTTACTTGTTTGCACAACTCTTATTTTTAAAGAGAGAATCGATATTTTCCTTACTTTCATATAAACACAGGCATGATATAACGGCCCATGAACAGGCGCTTCAACATGTCGTCTCTTGTGCTTAGAGTGGGTGTGGACAGCGGTTATGTTYCTGCTACTTTCTAGCCTCTTTAACAACAGCTACCAGGAGTCTCAGGTGCCATTTGAGAAGAATGTTGCGTGGAACCTGTGTGTGTCTTGTCCCTCTGTCCCAAAGAGAGAGCTCCTAGAGTGGATGGTAACATGTGACTATCACGGCCCAGCCCGGAGGCGAGTGTGTGTGTGTGTGTGTGTGTGCGCGCGTGTAAAAAGTGGGCAAGGCCGATGCCCTTAGCTCCTCCCCTCACCTGTCCCCAACCCTGCTCTTTTCTTCATCCAGCAAGTTCAGGATCCAGATGTTTCTAAAGCAAGGCTGTGAGTGGGTGGGCAGGCAGGTAAGGACAGCCAGGGAGGCCGGAGGTAACCTGGAGGTGACCTTTGGTTTGGCACCTGGCCCCTTGGTAGGCACCTGTCAACTGTGCTCTGTCACCCTCCAGAGGTTCCACAGTACTCTACCTCTAGGTTTGAGATGAGAAAGCAGAGTGTGAAGATAAACTTTTGTGCACACCGCAGAGGGATTTGAACTAGGCTGTCTGATCCTGAAGTCCGTGCTGGGGGGAGAGGGTCCCTGGCGGGTCCTGCCAGGTGCAGCGCTGCAGCCTCGGGAGTGGCCCTCTGCTGTCAGCTCAGCTGGGATGGGCCAGAGCGAGCTTCTGTGCCAGTTTTCTGAAGACTGGCCCTTTGCTCCAAGAGGTCACCTGCGATCATCTTCACATCCCTTTGAGAGGTGGGACTTTCCACCCAGCTGGTCACTGAGCCCCTCTTCAGCCTACCAGGAGGCCCAGTCCCGAGTGACCCAACCCTGCAGCCCCAGTGACAGGGGAAGAAACTAGAGCTCGTGTTTGCTGAGCTACATTAAAATCCAGAGGCCGGTGTGTCTCCTGGGTGCAGAGGAAGTGGGTGCTGGATGGAGTGACCCAGCTCCGTCTCTCAGCCCCTATTTGCCTGAGACTCCCCAGGAGGACGGGGGGGGGTGTTAGGAGACAGTTGTCCCTGGACAGCTCCAGGAGAAGGAAGCTGGGGTCCTCTGGGGAGCCGATGACAGGGCCCTGATGTAGGGCCGCTAGCAGAAGGTGCTGAGAGGTGGCACAGATGGTCCTCTGCTCATTTGATTGGAGCTGGGGCCAGATGGGGAGGCTTGGCAGGGGCTTCAGGGGGCTGCAGTTGACTGGTCTGGCTGGAGAAGACCGACCGAGAAGTGGGAGAGAGGGAGTCAGCAGTGGAATGATGTTGGGCTTGGTGCTGCTGACTGTGCCCCAAAGTGGTTAAGATGCTGAGGAGAGAGAGAGAGAGAGAGAGAGAGAGAGAGAGAGAGAGAGAGAGAGAGAGAGAGAAAAGAAAAGGAAAGTAGAGAAAATGTCAGGCTGAACCTTCCTAATTCCCAGTTTTCACCCAAGGACAAGGACCAGTGGCAAAGCTTTCACTAACCAAAAGCAAAATGAAAAAATTAAGGACAGATGCTTTGAACTTTTTAAATAGGATTTGATTTCATCTCAGGGACACTCCTCCATCCTGAGATTGTGTCCTGCCTACAGCACGTCGTGTTTGGTGGCCTTTAGGAGATGAGGGATGAGCGGAGGTCGCTGTGTCTTATTTTGTGGTTTATCTCTGTCTTCTGAGTGGACACAGTAGAAAGTGTCCCACCCCGTGCTGGTCTCCCCAGTGCCACGTTCTTTCTGGAAGAATACACAGTGCCCGAGTGTGGGGAAGCCCGCTAGAGATGGCGGGAGGGGAGCAAGGCCTCAAGCAGGACAGACAGAGGGGAGAGAAGCGGGAGGACAAGGTGGGGGTCAGAGTCGGGGCACTGGGCAGGGAGAGCAGGGAGCCCTCCACCTGTGGCTTCAGGGGAAGAAGCAGACACCCGCTGGCTCACATTCCGCTGGCCAGTTTTGCGCTCGCCTGTGTCTGTGGCTCTCCCCCCTCTGGTGGGCAGAAGTCCTTGCCTCTTCATTCTTACCCAACGCGACAGGCATCCAGGTGCCTCTGTCTCTGTGCCAGGCTTTGTGTGGGAAGATTCGGGGTGAGCCAAGCCTAGGCCTGTCCTCAAGGAGCTCACAGACCAAGGACAGGGTCTGTCTAGACCAGGGCCCGGCCGCTGCCCCTGACTGTGCTCCTCGCCCGTCCTGGAGGTGGCCAGTCCTCCCTCGCAGCAGCTGGAAGACCTGCGGAGGAGCCTGGGAAAGCCAGGGGTGGCATGAGGGTGTCTTGCTACCTCTGGGCAAAGGACAGTGGATAACACTAAAATCTCGGTTGAAGAGCATCCTGGGGTTCCTCGTTCTGTCAGGGGGAGATCTTTATAGACTGTTACGACCCTGTGCCCATTTGACAGGGTGGAGCACAGAGACCCAGCAGCTTCTGCTCACCCGGGAGCTCAGGGCGTTAGTCCTGGAGGTGGAGGTGACCCATGCCCCTAGGGGGACCCTGCTCAGTGCCAGGCAGAGTCGAGTTGGGGCTCTGCTGTTAATAAGCTGTGTGGCCTCGGGTCAGTTCCTGCCACTTCCCCCACCTTTTGGGAAAAAAGGGAATTTGGCCCCAGAGCCTCCAGCGCTGCCACTAAAAACCTGAGGCAGTCGCTGGGCCGTCCTCTCCTCGGCTGGAGGGTGACAGCACTCAGGTTTGGTGACTCTCTCCCCATGCAGAGGCACCGCTGGGTGACCGGCTTCCAGCCTGGGGCTTCAGGACAATGGACAGCCCTGGAGCGTGGTCTGTGGGAACCCAGGGAGAGTGCGCTGGGCCAGGACAGTTCCCTGAGGTCCAGCACTTGGTGGCTCTTTGGGAAGCAACTGTGGTCCTCCCTGACATTGTCCACCCCAGGGCGAGGCGGCAGACCCTTAGGTCTCTTATCCAGAGGTTTCCTCAGACCGGCTTAGAATGAGGCTGCTGTCTTTTTCTCTTGTAAATGAGGGATTACCTCTCTCTCTCTCTCTCTCTCTCTCTCTCTCT